ATTTTATAATCCCGTATATTTGCATGTAATAAAAACCTGCGACAACGAAGTCTGGTTATTTTAAGAAATTCTGGTAGTTGTTCTGGTATTCGACTAATTTTTAAAAAACATCGTGTCTATAAGTACCAAATATCAAAGTACTTGGAATAATAATTAGAATAGAATTACATGTTCGTGACATTCCAGGCTGATTTTATATACAGCACGTGGAATCAATTGTAATGTTACCATTTTAATAGGATTAGTTAAGTTAACAATAGAGAAACATTCTATCATCGGAAATGTATGTTGATATTAATGAATGCGTACCAGTTTCCGGATCCGATAATGCAAACACGCTGTTTGGCTGCCATGGTCTTGTTTGCTGTGAATATCGGAGACACACGTTTATAAAATGTAAAGGATCGAGAAGTGGTGGACACGAACCATGCAACTCCGAAGCAAAGAGACGACTGGAACAGCTCCGCACATGAGAAGCCTTGCGCTATTTTCCGTGGAAGTGGAAGTGCACGAACACAAACGAACATGCTGATACTAACATATGTATTTACCCTGATAGACAAGCCATTCTCGTGAACACTATTTGAAATTTTATCAATAAGAATGCACTATCATGAAAATCGTTAATTATAACGGTATGACTTTACATAAATTACATGAACATTCGAAAACAATAATTTTAAATCTTTAAGTATTGTTAGATAATAAAACATAATCTTTTTGTGTAATTTTATTATATTTCTAGAATATGAAATTGATGAAAATAAAAGAGAATTTTATATTTGAATATTGTTAATATCCAACGTTCGAAAATTTATTATAATTCTCTTTTTCACTTTCACACTTCATATGATGTTGATAAGGAATATACAGAACTATGAGAGTTAAATTTTTATATTAAAATACAGTCTTTACCGATATTCAAAATATTTATCGAATCTTTAAGTACATTTAATACGCGGTAATTAAGCTTTACATGTAAAATATATAACGACTAGTTGTTTTATTTAAAATCAAAGTTAAGAATAAGATGAAATAAGTACAAATATATGTGAATATCGTATAAAGTATCATAAATCATCGTTATCGATAAGTATAGACATTTATTGACCTTTTTATTTTCCTCTATCTTTTAATAGCTTTATATTACTACTTAAAAAATAATTAAATCGAAAATATATGTAACATTGCAAAACTTACCTTAACTAAGATTCTAATATTTGAAATTTACGTTACTTGAAAATAATGTTACCTGGTTTATGTATCGTACTGTTATCGTTTCTTATCGAATGCTATCAGTACAAACTCCTGAGTGAAACTATTTACCTAGAGTTCTAGCTTGACATTTATCTCAAAATATATTATTTATCAAACATATATATGTATAACAATTTGACTTTGGTTTAATGAATTACACACATTATCGTTCATTATCATTTATTTCTATTATATAACACACAAATAAAGTTTCGTTATGCTGTTAACTCTTTTTCTTTTAATTCTTATTTTTATTATACTACATAAGCGGTAATGGACAAGATATAACATATTTAGTATATATGCACAGTTAAATGCACATGCCCATATATAATATTTATTTCCTTTCGTTACATGTCTCAGATCTAATTACAATTCGTATTTCTTCTTTATGTTTGAATTTCTTGGGTAAATACATAGTTGAGAATATATAGGAATTACAACATTCAGAATTAAGTTTTCTTACAATGGTTTTGTGAATATTATATTGGATGTAATTCAATGTGCAACAGCAAAAGAACTAATTCTTTTTATTTTTAAAATAATAAATTCTTCAGCATCAGTTTTCCTATAGATGACAGTAACAGTTAGATATATTTAAATATACTGATTGCTATTAAATATCACAAAGTAACATTACACAGAATGTATACTGTAAGTAAAATTTCTTTTCGTGGTTTAAATTCATTTTAATCTTCTGTAGTAGCTTCCGCAGCATCTAAAATAATTTCAAAGGAGAATGGCTGGAAACTGTATCCTTGTCCTGCATAAAATTTGCTTTGGAATTCGACCCTGTAAAAATAATATTTATGAAGAAACTAGTTTACTACAACAAAATTGAAATATTTACATTTTAAATATGTAAATACATTTTATAATTGAATGTTTTATAAATAAAAATTTTGTACAAAGAATTTACGCTATATAAATATTCATACCAATGAAGTCGTAATGTATGTAGAAAAGCTGATAATCCTTCCATAAGAACTAGAATACCAATGGTTAAAACAGCCCAAAATGCAAATACAGCCCATAGAACGATACCACCAGCCCATCCTTGTCGTGTCAATCCATTTCTCATAACCATGTTCCATAATACTTCTGATAATTCTAAGAAAATAAATCAAAACAGGTCTCAACAATTTGTAAATATTATATATTATGAATTATGTATTAGAAAATTTATCTTTTAACTTACGAGCATGAGCAAGCGATAAAGCCCATAAACGTAAATATGATGCAGTATGAGAAACACTGCCAAGAACATATTCAATGGTGTGAATTCCTTGATGAATAAACATTTCACTCATCTCTTCTTCTTCTTCTTCTTTGTGCCCACCTTGAGCAACGCCACTATTTGGCTGGATTGAGTCAACACCACCTTCTACATCACCATTTTCAGTTCCATGATTGTTTAACTAATAAAACAAAATGTTAATTTTTAATATTCGAAAAATTCTGTTGATATTTAATTCTTCATGATGTAATGCATTGTTATTTACACAATTAGTGTTTAAGAGTACGACATACATATTAGTTTTTCATGATCGAATTAATCGAAAGGTTTTGAAGTTTCAAAGTTGTACACATCGTAAGCATGTCGATTAAAAAATTGTATGTGAAAGTTTGTATAAACCTGGTAATGTTGCTGCTTTCTATTGTACATCAGCATGAAAGGTTTTGCTAATAACATCCACGGGATACAGAGGACAGCTAGAACTACAAGAAGTTTTTGGAATGATTCTTGACCATAATACATCCATGGACTGCACTTTTCTGGGGCAGTTCCTCGATTAAACAATACCATGTTAATGAAGGTAATTAATACGGACGGTGCGCAGTAAGGACTATGCTGTAGATCAAGACCTGTTAGAATTAGAAAATAATATATAAATATAGATGACTTTATTTTTACTATTAATATCTTTTCATTGCACTCGAGGAAATGCTTACCATCAGTATCAGGACCATACTTCACCCACTTGATAAACATAAGAAGTACCATGTACAGAAAGAGGAACGTCAGGAATACAATTTGTGGAATAAACTCACAAGTTATGCTAAGTTTCCTTTTAAAGTACAAGTGATTCCATAATCCAACAAATACACCGAACAACATGTGTATAACGCCAAAAATGATTGATATTTTCATTTTATACGAATTTAAAAAGATGATTTTGTTTTCTGCAAGTTGCCACACAGGATCCATTCCTATTGGATAAGGAATTTGATCATATTCATCTTTACTGCTGGGATTTAATTGTAACTCCTTATTCGAGTGTATTGTGCTATAGTCGTAGTTAATTTTCCAATATGACCCAAAGATGTTCAGTGACTTAGAAAATACATCGTTGTATATAAATCCAGTATACATTGAAAACAAGCCCATTAAGAAGACAATGTATCGTCCGCCGAAGAAGATGTTCCAAATCTCATTATCTGATTTCTTTGCGGCAAGTCCTTTTTCTTTTAATACCATCCACCCACCGAACAAGAACATGATTAATCCATGGCCAGTATCGCCAAACATGACAGCAAATAGAAATGGGAATGTTATTATGGTGTAAGGTGCTGGATTCATCTCTCTATAAGAAGCAACTCCATATGCATCTATCAAAACCTGAAATCCTTTCGTAAACTTGTTTGTTCGATTATACGTCGGAGGATCTTCAAATGTTTCCATACGATTTAAAATAGGCGGCACGGAACTGCCACTGCGTTCCTGGAACAAAGCACAACCGTTATAAAACAATTTTCTACAAGAATCAATTAAATCTACAGAAGCGATAATAAATACTTACAGTTCCGCGACGCAACGCAAGTTGAATTGTCTCGATATCTAGCACCGGCACCCAGCACTCGGCAATCAAACATTTCTGTGTAACATCCAAGTTGAATAAATTTAAAGTATGATAAATCGCCTTGATCTTCCGGACCTTCACAAACCAATTTTTAATATTCTTTGCAGCAGCGACTAAAACTCGATGACGATGATCTTGAGTTTGTCCAAGCACCTAATGCCAGGCGTAATAGGAAATTAAAAAAGATTATACAATAATGTAGAATGGTGCGTATAGAAAATATGACTGACTGTATTTAAATCTTCAATTCGAGTCATGACACCCATTGACATTTCACGGCGATCGGCGGGTGCTTCAGGGCATGGGTACAAAGTAGCTCTGAATCCTTCGCAAATTTTCTTAACTCGAGTTTTCAATTGATCTCCTTGGAAGAATATGATAAACACAGACTTGAAAACTTGGTCTCCCTAAAACAATACAGTGAAACGTTTACCGAGTGTTTTAAGAAGGAGCAAAATCTACACTGTACGAGGATAAATCTTCACTTACTGTTGAAGGATCTTCGAGAGGAGTTTCAATCTCAGCTTGACGCAAGAAAACATTGCCACGGCATGCCCGCCACAGCATGCGCTCAAATGCAGGAATGCGCTCTCTTAGAATCACTCCTGCGACGAAACTATTTTAAAGAATAATATTAGTAAGACGTTTGATTGATAAGAGAACGAAGCAGAAAATAAGATATAATACTATGGTTAATATACTATGTGATGTGAATAAGTCTAATACACACATACACGCAAACACACGTACATACACGCAAGCACACACTCTACATTCGTCAGAAGTATGAACCTAATAGAATAGAAAAATTGTTCCCACATGTTGTTTACCAAAAAATGCCATATTTAATATTATACGTCGATATCATTGGTTTTGTATTATTTTCAACCTGTATCGTATAGCATTGTAACGATTAATTGGTAGTTTAATCAATTTCTTTTACTCCTGTATCGTTATTACTGAAAAATGATGATTATGTAGCCATGGTCCTCTATAATGTCCTAATAAACACAACTGTTATAATTAATATATTTGATATATTTAATATACAATTTGTAATTATTCATTACAAATGTTTAAATGCAAGTAATTCCAGATAAGATAATATGCATAGTACGCCTTGCTTTGGGTTATAACAATGTACAGTATATAGATTGAACAATTATTTATCAAACAAGCACCTCATAAACTTCCAATAAAACTTTTGTTACATTGCATATGTACTGTATACAAACAAACACAGTTGTAAATTAGCGCTAATGCAAATACGTGGATAGAAGTTCTTACGGAAAATGTAAAAATTTCAATGATTAATATAAATATTGACATTACAGCTATTCGGTATTTCATTTATTGATATTACTAAAGATTTGCTACGTTAAGGGATGTTAGAGAAGAAATGTTTACTATTGAATAGTTATATAATCTCATCATTTTTACAATATACTTCTACAGTTATTAGCAATCAATAGAAAGGAAGTGCATACGACTGATATGTTTAGATAATTAGGACTGTGAGAGTATGTATTTATTGATTGTGTAATGTGACAGAATTACAGACTTACAGAAGGAGAGGAGGGATTAAAATATGCTACGACAGCATTTGCAAATTTAATCGGATTTCTATATTCCTAAGATCCTTCTTAATAATGTAATTAGTAAAATATTATTTATTTTAAGGTGATCTGTACAAGGCATTCCATGTCTTTTATATTAGAAATTATTAAAAAACTATTAAACAAGGTGAATCTAGTAAATGGGACAAGCTATAATTCTATTTCTGACGAAGTCATTTGACAGGCTCCATCATCGTACAGTACCAGTTTTTCTATAAATACTTTGGTGCAGTTACAAAGTGCAATTGCACTTTTTTACGAAAACGAAGCTCTATGTCTTTTTAATACAAATCGTTTCTTTTGAAAACGAATTTACTAACCCATGCAAAACATCCCTCTACAATTTCTGTTTGCTTTTAATAGCAACCGAGTTATAGTCTGATCCAGTTGTTAAATGTACCCTGTATATATAGTATTATACTTGAAGCGTGTATAGTACTCAACGAGAGATGCAAAAAATGTCTTATCAATATGGAACTTAAACGTAATTGTGTCGATAAAAAATCAGCTTTTATTGTTCATTAATAAATGTCTGTCTCGTAAGTAAATCTCCTTGTAACATAAAACATCTATCGAATGTAAGGCACAAAAAAATGTTAAGTATTCAAGGTTGTAAGTATAAGGTTCTCACTAATTTTAATAAAGACTCACGACAAAATGTAAAAAATGCGTGTCACGAAAGGAATATTTCCATATGTACAACGACCTATGATTATAGATGTAAGCTATTCATTGAAATGAAAGGAAGACGTCTCTAACATTTTTACTACGAAGATTTATCATACGTTTGCGTCTATGAAATGCGTACAATCGAGGTATTGTGAAGAGTGAGGTCAACAAAACAAATAAATTCCGTTTCTAAAAATAAATAATTAAGGGAAGTTGATCTTTTATCGAAACAATTGCTTTTAAAATTTATGCTGATTAGACATTTCTTACACTTTTACACTTTATTTTCTTACTTTCGGTGGATATTGTATGCTCTACAAGTATTGGACCCTTTTTTAAACAGCCTATATAGATGTACAGATATTATGTTGAAGATATATGCATACGGATGCTACGTCAGGTACAGTCTACGAATACTACGGTCAACAAAGGGAGAATTGAAATGTACACGTCTACTACCAGAATTGGGGTTAACACGCGCTTTATAATAAAATTCACAGTCAAAGGAAACTATACTCTTGTTGATTATAAATGAAAATTATAGAAGATCATTACAAATTGATGATTTGTACAAAATCTATTAACTGGTCACATCGAATTAGAGGAGAAATTGAACGTACACATCTCCATAAATATTCATAATTTTAATTTAAATTAAAGTTCCATACATATTCAACACGCAAAGATTGAAGTTAGATAACATTTATCTTCTGATTTGTAAGTAATTTAATAGAAATGGGGAACAAGATACTTAACATGTTCGACATGAAATTCGTATTAATATATTTTCGGAGGAAAATATTAATTTACTTTGAAGGTTTTAATAGAAGAAAGGGTTATTCGAGTTACATTAGTACTATTTATGAATCTCTGAACATTTTTTTATGTCACTGAACTCGTAAAACGACGAACAATGCTCGTATTTAACATTTTTCATTAATTTCATTAGCTTTTAAAATATTTCTTATTATTATGAGTCGGCAAAATTATAAGAAATGCGTGTTGAATATTTATAAATACTTTACATGTTTGCCAAGGTGAATTTCAATTGGTGCACAAGAGTTGGAAGTTTTCCTTGACAGATTATTGAAAACGGTTTATTCAAGCAGCGACTGCTTTTCAGGTGCAAAACTGTATTTAATAATTTACATCTAAAAAGATTCATAGAAACTCGTGAGAAGTTTCCGCGATCATTGGATATTTGACTTTAGAATCATTCGAGGTCAGATTTTAGCAAACGATTTCTGAATATTTCCGACTCATATTTGCAAAATCATATTTCATAATTATAGATTATCATATTCGGTACGTTCACCTTCAGTACAAATACTGAGATTGAAAGTTCGTACATTGCGACAGCTACGAAATTATGTAATACGAAATAGAGGCGTATTTTAAGAAAGAGAAATGATTCTCAAATCACGACCAACCGTATCTCAGAAAAAGCTACAGTGGTAACTAGGATTAACTATAACAATTATTTGACTATTATTCTATTATTAATAATTAGATATGTAAAATTTGTAAAGAAATATATTAAACATATATTATCAACATTTTTATAATTGTACCCTTTTGTGAAAATTTTACGAAAGTTCTATAAAAGAAATATCACAATTATAAAAATACGAAACGAAACTTTGTACCTATTAATTAATAACTGTCCAGAAAGGAACTTGTAGAATATCATGCAGATAACTTTGCATCGTAATGTAGATTTTATAATGTAGGCCACTTTGGCACTCATTTATGTTGTTTTTTAAGGAGCTCATTTAAAAATTATGCATAATTTTTTTTAAATACGATTTGTCAAACACGTTAGAAACTTTTAAACAAATGTTTCAAGACCGTTCGTATTTGACTCGATATCAGGGAAACATTTGGATCTAAAACATAATCCACGTTTTGGTCGGAGACAGTAGAAATGGATATCATTTATATTGTGATGAATTAGGTCACACGAACAATTTGGTGTTTGTAATATTTATATCTGATATAATGCTAGCAGATTTATATTCTAATCCCAGAGTACAATAAAAAGTGCATAATTACTTATTTCTTATATCGTTTTTACATAAGTAAATATTTTTACATTCTGTAAGTTTAATTAAATGATTTGTAGTTCATTGGTAAAATTTTCAGTCATTTTTCTATTGAAATTCAACTATTACATATCATATCTTTCAGTGTTTACGAAGAGGTAAGAATTTCGAAAAAATATGGAAGTGCACGCTAACAACTATAAAGGCAATAAACAGTAATAAAACTGTTATCACAATGATAAGAGCGGAAATACCAATAACCTGGAATTTAAGATCTGTAACTAGCTATCGTATGTTTAAGTGCGGAAATACCAATGAGTTAGACTTCTAAATCTGTAAGTAGCTGAAACACTGCAATAGCAATCGGTAACCCTGATAACTACACCATGTACGACAACATAATTCAATTACATTACATACTAATTTATCAGTACATCGCTAGAAAAATATCAATATGGTGTAGATTATAAGATATAAAGAACTTCTGATGTAATTAATGTGTTTCATTTCACATTTCCTAAGAAAACAGAAACCGTTGCGAATAAAAACTAGGTAAAAGACTGTTTTATTTGTTTCTAGCCACTTAAATACTTATTTCCAAGCTATGCAATAACAACCGTGTACAACGGTGTAACGTACTATATACCTAAACTATTATCGAAATTAATTTCAGAATAGAATCGAAGGATTCATTGAATGTTTACATATACAAGAACCGTTAAACATTTCAATGCATTATTATAGAAGTCATAATTTTCCGAATCTCTGTAAACGAAAATCACTACTACGATATCTGGCAAGTAACTGTGTTAATATGACAATGATGTACAAATGTGTCAAGTAGTATTTGTTTGTTTGTTTGTTTGTTATGGACGTGTAAACTGTGAAGATTCAGAAATCCATTAGAAGCAAAGTAACATACATCTTCCTCTGTAATAGAATCAAGTAAAAACATGGCAAAAGTATGAAATTCGTATAAGAACCAGTGGGATTTATAAAAATGTAGTTATTAGGGTTAATAATAAAGTCACTTTTATTTCGAGAATGTAGGACACAATAATGTACGGGAAGGATAAACTAGTCATGGAGTACATACCCCAGCTGGACAGGACCAAGGGCAGACTGGCGGGCGATATTATCATCACTAATCAATGCACGTGTCATGGATTCGGTGGGATTCAAGCCTGCGTGCTCTTGCTAACGACACAACAGACAAGACACAATCACATTAGCACACTAGACATCACCACAATGCTCAAATGCCATTCTGTTGTTGGACAAATCCCTTG